GTCTTGAAGCAGTTCAAGAAGAACCAGGCACACCAGAACTAAGATGCTCCTTCAGAATTCCTAAACCAACCCAGCGGTATTCTCCTTCTTTGCACTACTTGTTGCTGACTGACAATGGTGAACCAGAGTGCTATGATGAAGCAATGCAAGTGGAGGATTCAGTTAAGTGGGAGTCTTCCATGAAAGATGAGATGGACTCGCTTATGTCAAATCAGACGTGGGAATTAGCTGAATTACCACCAGGCAAGAAAGCACTCCATAACAAGTGGATTTACAGGATCAAAGAAGAGCATGATGGGAGCAAACGCTACAAAGAAAGATTAGTTCTCAAAGGCTTTCAGCAAAAATATTGACTACAATGAAATTTTCTCTCCAGTCGTGAAGCTATCTACAATTATACTGGTGTTAAAAATTGTAGTTGCAGAGAATTTACATCTTGAGCAGTTAGATGTGAAGACAACTTTCCTTCATGGTGATTTGGAGGAAGAAATCTATATGAGGCAGCCAGAAGGCTTCATAGAGGCAGGTAAGAAAAACCTGGTATGCAGGTTGAAGAAGAGCTTGTATGGTTTAAAACAATCTCCTAGACAGTGGTACAAGAAATTCAATAGCTTCATGGGTAACAATGGTTTTACCAGATGCCAAGCAGATCATTGTTGTTACATCAAGAGGTTCGACAATAGCTTCATTATTTTATTGTTGTACGTTGATGACATGCTCGTTGCAGGCTCAGACATGCAAGAGATTATAAACTTGAAGCAAAAATTGTCGAAGCAGTTTGCTATGAAGGATCTGGGCGCTGCAAAGCAGATTCTTGGGATGAGGATCAAGAGAGACACAAAGTCGGGGACTTTGATATTATCACAGGCTGAGTACATCAACAAAGTACTCTCCAGGTTTAACATGTAAGATGCTAAACCAGTAAGTACACCTTTAGGTGTTCATTTCAGACTCTCCAAAGAACAGTCAGCAAAGACGGAGGAAGAACGTGCACACATGGTGAAGGTGCCGTATGCCTCAGCAATTGGAAGTCTGATGTATGCCATGGTTTGTACCAGACCAGATATTGCTCAAGCAGTGGGAGCTGTTAGCAGGTACATGAATAATCTGGGCAAGGTACACTGGGAAGCAGTCAAATGAATCCTCAGATATCTGCGGGGTACCACAAACAAAGCACTTTGTTTCAAAGGTGGAGATACGATACTGACAGGCTATGTAGATGCTGACTTAGCCGGAAATGTTGGCATCAGAAGGAGCACTACAGGGTATGTCTATACTCTAGGAGGAACCGCAGTGAGTTGGGTTTCTCAACTACAGAAGATAGTTGCTCTCTCTACAACTGAAGCAGAATATGTCACTGTTACGGAAGCTAGCAATGAGATGGTTTGGCTCCAAAGTTTCTTGGAATAGTTAGGCAAGAAACAAGAAAACAATGTCTTGTATTGTGACAGTCAAAGTGCTATACATCTAGCAAAGAATCAGTCTTTTCATTCCAAGACAAATCACATACAATTGCGATATCATTTTATCCGGTCTCTTCTGGATGATGAGATTTTGAAACTTGAAAAGATCAGTGGAGCTCAAAATCCGGCAGACATGTTGACAAAGACGGTGACTACAGACAAACTGAAGTTGTGTTCAACTTCAGTTGACATGCTAGAGTAACAAGACTAGAAAATTTGTTGCATTGATCGAGGTGTGAAGACAGATTAAAATCAGTCTTCAAGTGGGAGATTGTTGAAAGTATTAAAATGGTTTTCAAGTTTGGTAACCAACTTTGAAAAAATGGTTTTCAAAGTTTGGTAAATGTTTCTTTGAAAATAGTTTTCAAAGTTTGGTAAATGTTTCTTTGAAAAATAGTTTTTCAAAGTTTGGTAGATGTTTGTTGAAAAATGATAATGGGATAATCACAATTAATCCCTAGGTTTTAGGGTATTTACAAGATTAAGTCATTAAGTTTCAACTATAAATACCCTAGCTCATTTAGCTTCAAAACCATCCCAAAAATCATTTCTTTCTCCCAATATTAGAGAGCTTTCTTGTGAGTAGTGAGTGTTTTGTAAACACCTGTAAATTTTCTCTCTTAGTAAAAGATCTGCAGCAGTCCGGAGGCGTAAGCACAATTGGCTGAATTCCGTTATCAATTTCGGGTATTATTTTTTCGCTTTTATTTTGCATTCTCACTAATCATGCATCGTTTCATTATTTTGTCTGGGCAGCAGAGTTTATTTTATTATGTTGCATTGGTTAAAGAATATATATATATACATAAAGTAACAAATAAAAAATGAACCTCATTATTATAAATCAAGTTATTAAATATTTCGAACAAATCTTGAAATTCGAAACTTCCCGTTATCCAATAAAAACCTAAAATTCCTAATAATAAACCAAAATCGCCTATCCGATTAGTTACAAACGCTTTTTGACAAGCGTTTGCCGCAGCGGGTCATGTGAACCAAAACCCTATTAATAGATAAGAACACATTCCAACTAATTCCCAAAAAATATAAATTTGTATCAAATTCGAACTAGTAACTAATCCCAACATTGAAGTATTGAACAAACTCATATAAGCAAAAAATCTCAAATATGTTTGATCATGAGACATATAATTGTCACTATAAATAAGAACAAAATTTCCAACAGTAGTGATTAATATTGACATAATAGAGGTAAGTGAATCAATAAAGTAGCCAAACTCGAAAGAAAAATCATTATTGATGGTCCAAGACCATACATATTGATAGATAGAACTTCCATTTATTTGCTGAATAGACAGATCGACCGAAAAAATCATAACTACACTTAACAATAAAATATTGGGAAAAGCCCACATACGACGAAGATTTTTTGTATATATATATATATATATATCAACTTGAAATCATGTGAGGCAATATGTGTTTGCTACTATTTCTGACGACAATGCAATGAGATTTTTCCAGAAAACATTCTTTTAAAACTGGTAAACCCCGCCGTTAATTATCTAAAATTAAAATTGTTATACCTCTTTCGTATCTCTTTCGGAAGTAATATTTTTAACTCCATCTATTGTGCATGCATTGATACTTACAAAATACTTATACTTTCCAAAGTTTTTCGAAACTCTTGAATTACCACATCCCCAAACAATAAACAATACCTTGTTGTAACTTTTGTCATGTTCATGTGATCTGTTAGAGTTCATATAAGTTATCTGACAATTATATTCATTGGCCATGCTAATCTATAGATAATTATTATGTCTTAGACTTGATATCAATACTAAAGGTTACTATATGGTCTATCAACTGGGATTGAGACAGGAATTCAACCTCTTCTTCTTTTTCTCTCCCTATATAGAGATAAAGAACTTTATTTATCATTTTCAATCAATTTTCAATCATACATTTACCGTCTGTGATTCTTCATCCAATTACTTATCACAACATAAATGTTGTCATCAACATAAATAAATATATCATGCATAAGCATCAAAGAGGACAAAATAATATTGTTGTTTCGGTGGGAGTTTTTATTTTTCTCTTTGTTAATTTTTCGGTTAAGAAGGTGAGGCAAAAGGAAAGTTTTTATTGGGAATTTGGTAAAAAGTTGGAAGAAGATGATAATGGTTGAAAATTTTCGATCAAATTATATTAATACGTTGAAATCTGGAGTTAAATTTATTATTATATCAATTTTAATAGTTGTAACATATTTTAATAAAATTAAACATCAAATTTTTTTATAATTTTTTTGTAATTAATGGGCTCAAAAATAAAATCTTACAGTTAATAAATTATTATTTATTTTGCTCCAAAATTTTTATATAGTGCTTTTTGATATCCCAAAATTCTATATATAAAGATTAAAATAAAAGGTCATGTTATGTTTAATTTTAATAATAATAGGCCAAGATGGGTGGAATTATTGTTAAAGAAGGATTCATTCATTTCAATCACAAGATTCCTCACTACAGCTATAAAGGGAGATGTATACATAGGCTAGGTCTTATAGAGGCATAATGGATGATGATAAAGAAGCCACATGTGCAAGAGTAGAGTGAAAGATGAAGAGAAAATATCCCAACTGTTGTCGACAAAAGTTTGATTCCAGTTCGATTCCCAATTCATAATTTGCATCGAATGTTCATTTCTGGTTAAGTTTTTGCTCTCCAATCTTGTATCCTTTTCGGGTAGCTACTTGTTGAGAGTTTATAATTTTGAGGCAGTTGCAGGAGGCGTGAACTGTGCAAACTCTCTTTTGGGCGTTGCATGTATGATAGGGACATAGGGTTTATAGGAATAGGGATGGTAGGCTGAACAATATCGCATGGACCACGTCCTTGATGTGCAGTTAATGCCCATTAGCTAAGTTTTGATACGCAAGACGATGACATGCTTTTGTTTCATATTCGATTCTTTCAAAGGATTCATCGGAAGACATAAAAAGAAAATTATGTGAGATGGAGAAAGTTTTGGGTTTTGCAGAACTTGAATTTTAATGGTGGAGCTGAGCATTTCAAAAACTATGGCCAATATCACATCCATTAGTGTGAGAAGATATCCTATCACGTAGAAACTTGTGTATTTATAGAAAGTTGTCTATTTTAGAGGGGTGCAAAGAGCTCCAAGAATTTAGTAGAATTTGTACGCTTTTAGCTGGTTATAAATTAAATTCTCCGAGTAGAATTTGATGATAAGACAAGTAATAAAAGATTTCCCCCAAAAAAAAAATGCATTAATTGATAAAGGTTAGGGATGATGATGAGTTCATCTAAGTTGAACTTTTTATCTGTTCTGATCTTGATCCAACTGGATTTGAATCATTATCAAAATTTCTTATTTTCTCACCCAATGTCAGATTTTCTTCCCAAATCAAACATCTTGAGCACACAGATTTTAAATAAAAATTAAGATATGTATGAAAATTCTTGGGCACAAAATGGGCTTGGCTCACATACGTGTTTTGTCAACATTGGGAAATATTGGACCTTTCCAAGAAAATTCATTATCCAGACAATTTAATGGGTCCGATCCGGAGTCTGTTCAACACGACCTTTTCCTGAAGAGTAAAATTTTCAGTTTCCGTTTTTTTTTCCTGATCAAATTTCACTCTGCAAATTTGCGGTTTAATAAGTCCAGCCTTTTTCACTACCAAATCTATTGCAGTAAATGAAGCCATAAACAAAAATTGCCATCTTTTTTATTAGTAGTATTTTTCCTTTCTCGTTCGTGTTAATGGAATACCGGTGTGTCCAATGCGGGTTTCGGATCAAAACCCTATTCGTTCAATACTCTCCGGGAAACATTCGATTGATGAAATGTGTAAGCTTTAGTTTTGTTCCTTATTTCTGAAAATCAGTTTTTTCCCCCTTCATTTACTTATTAAGTTGTGCATATGTTCATAGGTGAACTGTAAAGCAGTTGCTGATGAGTATATTGAATGTGAGCTCATGGTAAACCCCTTGATTTTTTTTGGCACTCTAATCTGTACCCTTTTATTTCTTTGTTAGTTTGTTGGAGTAATTTTTACTAAATAAAAAGAGATTTGGCTTTATGATTTTTTTGAATGTGTGTAGATTGTTTTGATTGATTTAATCTTGCACAAGCCAAAAGCTTACAGACATGTACTTTTCAATGTCCTCAACCATGAAAGTACCCATTTTCAGGTATAATTGAGTTGTTTGGTTTTCTCTGTTATTACTGGAACTTAGATTTTGGTCTTCGTTTAATTATTTGGACATGCTATCTCTTACATGAAATTGTGTTTTTTTTTAAAACTTTGCAGGGTCTATTGTGGAAGTCATTAGTTGGTTTTCTTGTGCTGGATGCATGTATCCGTATAGAAAGCAAATTTTACTTTATAAATTTAGTTTAACTAACTACAACATGGTTCAGTAATTCTTAGAGTTCTTTATGATAAATTGGGCTCCTTAGCGCTCTAAGACAGAAGTTTGCTTGTCAAAAAGCCTGAGGAAGAATGGGGCACGTCCATGAGCATTTCTTCGTTTTTTTGGATATATCGCAAGGTTTGTTCATCTTATGGAAGTACCGAAAATATTTCAGGTTCTAGATTTCTAATGTTTGACCTGTAGATAATTTCTGATGAATGTCTTTGCTAATGCCAATTGTAGATGTTGGTGGATGTATTTCTGGGAAACTATATGTTTCTATGTTCTTTTTTTCTTGCAATCAAGAGCTTGCTTAAGACATCAGCTCGATTCTCCAGGTACATATTTGCATTTTTTTTGGTGGGCTACTACGAGACAAGGTACTCATTTCAGTATTTATTTGTATGGTTGTCATGGACTAACTATTTATTTATTGTATGGATCACTGTTTTGTTCTAAACATCACAGCTTCAGAGATCTGCTGCTTGCAATTTTAATTTCAAGTTACTTCAAGATTCTTCTCATTGCGATGATGGTTTGCTTTCTAATGCCAATTGGCCTGCTGACTAGAATGAATTCTTATTTTGAGAAATCACAACACTGTTCTATCTTTATCCTTTCAATGATCATACATCTAAATCCAGGTTTGTGTTCTGCAGGTCTGGGAATTTCCACCTGCAGTGATTTATATCATTGATTTATTTGTTTTCTCATCTAATACAGTGGCACTAAAAGGTCAGATATTCTATACTTTGCAGTTTTTCACATGATAGATAATCAACATTTGTGTTTATATTCATTATTCATAGTTGTGATTGCTGTTTCTTAACTACTATGTCAACTGCATGAGCCTCGAATGTGGTCAAGTAGGGTTTTTGCTTTCCTTTGGATTGTAGATTAATATGCCCCTAGTGGAACTTGGAATTTATATGATATTTAGTAATTATTATAACTGACCTAGCTGAAGGGATGGGGATGGGGAGTGGATGAGGATATTATGAATGAGATTAAAGATTCTATCCATGCAAACTGTTATCAATTGTGTCGGTTATCGTGTTTCTGTTATGATTTCAGTGGCACTTTGGTATCTGAGATTTAAATATTTTCCTGAATTAGTTTATTTTCTATTTGAACTTTAACAAACTCCATCGCGTTTGTCAGAAATTGATGAACTGTTTCTTTCTTGTGAACTAGTGATAACCAAGTCAACTATGAATCGATGTATAGGGGCCTGCTTCATCGCGCATGTTGTAAGATTTTGTATAACACAGGCTTTTAGTTAAGACCTTGAGATAGTTTTGAGTATTTCTTTTTTATTGTTCACATGGTATTCAAACTCAAAATAGCTTTTGTTCATTCAATTTTCTGTCATGTGTATTCTTAATTATCTATAAACGCATCTGTGCTACACACATATTCATATTCTCCTTCATACTTGCCCTTTCATACATATATTATAGCGTACATACCCTGTTACAATAAGCTAATTTTGATATCCCTAATTTCCCATTAATTCTATCAATATTGTTAAGGCAAGGCGCAGGTCTAAACAATACGAGCCCCTCAAACCTTTTCAACTGAGATCCATTTGATCAGGTGGAAGGCTGGTGCCTAGGAACACGCATTTTTGCAAGAAAATCACGCATATTGATATTGACTGATAAAAAAGGATGTATGTTTTGTAGATAGACTACACTAGACTAGACCACACAATAGCCATATACGCGCAGACACCACATAACCCTCACACATACATATTGCAGTTCGCACAGGCTAATGCCCTTTTTGTGCATTATGCCTAGGGTAATATAAGGGTTCTAAGACATTAGTTTAAATTCTGCAGTACCTTTGCTTCACTCTGGTTGATTTTCTTGGATGATAAAATCAGTCACTTATCACACACGCACATACAAAGGGTTCTAGTGCCCAGAGTGCGCCATGCCTAAATTCTGTGCAACACTTCTATCTTATTTGAAGGTTGTTTTATTATAAGAACTAGCTTGTACCTCCATTGGGTATGAATCATCCAGTGCTTCCAATGTAATCATGGAGGATAAGTTGAACCTCTGGTCCGTAGTAATTAAGTTGTGTTGCTTGCTTTTGAAGAGTTGAGGATAAGCTTCAACTTCATCTGTGGTGAAGACAATTGAATTCCAAAATCACGATTTTGAACCTTGTCTGAGTTTTTAGTTGCTTCTTGCTCCGGTGTTAATAATTCAGCTATGTATTGTATCCCATTGTGGAAAAACTCATTAAGCTCTGATCCTTCCTGAATCATAAAAAGGGAAGAGAAGAAAGAAAAGAAAAGAAAAGAAAAACACAGCTTAGTTATTGCTCCATTCATCACCGCATAATGTTGATTGAAAATTTCTCACATGACTTACCGTTGGAATGGAATCCACTGGAAGATGATTTTCAAAAGCCAAGCTAGAGCCCTCTTCAGCAAATAAAGTATTATGTTTATTTCATCTCCATTTGAGTTGGTTGGATCATTAGCAAAGAGAACTGAACTCCGTGATGAATTATCATGATCACAGATCCCAACTTGATTCATAGCCGGAACACAGTCATTAGGTTCCATTATCTTCTGGTTTATTGGCTCACCAAAGCCTTCCAGGATCTGAATCATAAACCAAATTTGGTTTTAGATGCTCTTTTCGTGAAAATTTTATTAGAAAATAATAAAGAAATATTATCTTACTTTTTGAATATCAATATTGACATTATAAATTTGAGTCGGAATATAGCATGGAGTTTTCTTTCTCATAAAGAAAGGTTGGTTGGTTGCTGTAGACATCATTATTCTTAATAACAGAATCCACAAATTCATCAATAGTCTGTTCATTGGATACTAATTCTGATTGAATTCCACTGTTTTCAGTGAATGCTACTAGCTATGTTAATGGCTCTTTCGAGTTTAACTGGCCCTGAATCATAGAGAAATAGGTCATAACCTTTTAATATTGTTCATCATCATTAACATAAAGGAAATTTATTTAAAGAAGTTTGGTATTTTGATTTGGGCATCTAACATCTGGAATTGCAATGTTCGTACAGTGGTTTTTTAAGTTTGAAGCCAAACACAGATTCGATTGCCCTTCTTCACCTCTTGAAACATCTACCTTCCCCTTTGTTTTCTTCAATTTACAAAGAGTTAAACTTTTCTACAAAAAAATTAAATGAAAAAGAAAATTTATTATACCAACAGATCCAGGGAAATAAAAAACAATACACGCCTTGTAATTTAAGAAAAAAATTCCTTAGAACCCAATATATATATGCTGCATCATCAAATAATACATGGGCATAAAAGTGAAAAAAATGGATCCATGCATATAGAACATACTTGGTTTGGAAGGTTAAGAATGAGCTCAAGTTCGTGCATGACCCAAGGGGTTTTATTTTCCTTTTTGTTTTTACACTATTTTTTTATTTTGATCGTCTATCGTTAAAAAATTAACAATTACATAATAATTTTTTTAAAAATTTTATTCGATAATCAGAGTGTAGAAGAAAAATATTGATCCTTGCCGCTTTGACAAAAGATAAGGCACTTAACCACTTAGATAAATATGATATTAGTGTTATTTGCCCAGAACTTTCATTTAAATAGTAGTCTGATACTACATTACCACAGTAAAATAAATGATATTTGTTGAAACTTAAATTTAAACATGGTGTTGAAAAGTCTTGGCAAGCACCGAAAGGTGCTAATAAAAAATTCCACCGAAAAAATTTGTCAAAAAGGTTGGGTTTTTGTTGAATTTTGGACAATGGTAAAATCATAATTTTAGCCATTGTAATTTAGGGTATTTACAAATTAGTCCTTAGAGCTTCAACTATAAATACCCTAGCTCATTTAGCTTCAAAACCATCCCAAAGCATTCTAGCTTTCTTCTAATACTAGAGAGAATTTAGAGAGTTTCTTGAGAGTTGTTTTCTCCTTTTTATCAAGAGAGAATTATCATTGTATTCTTCTTGGTAGATTGAGAGAGGTTGTAATTCCTATTTTTCTCATAGTGAAATTCTTCTACCGTTGCCCGTGGTTTTTACCCATATTATTTAGGGATTTTTCACGTAAATTTTGTGTCTCTTTTATCTTCATTTTTATTTTATCAAATTATCAGTTGCGATTTTGCTCTATCCGATAGCCGTCTTCCGCAACAATTGGTATCAGAGCTAGATTTGAGTCTGTAATATCTACTTATTGTCTTTGTGGTTGCCACCAAAAGGTGGATCCTCCAACATAAGAAAATAAGAAGGTATTACCCATTTTTTGAGGTTCTAGAGAACTATTCACGATAGTGAAATAGTAGGAGCTATCAATAATAGAAGCTATGGCAACAAAATTTGACATTGAAAAGTTCAATGGGAGAAATTTCTCATTGTGAAAATTGAAGATGAATGCCATCCTCAGGAAAGACGGGTGTCTAGCGGCTATCAATGAAAGGCCGGTGGATTTCGCAGATGACATCAAATGGAACGAGATGGACGGGAATGCTATGGCAAACTGTCATCTAGCATTAGCAGATGAAGTATTGTCAAACATCGAGGAGAAGAAGACAGCTAAGGAGATATGAGATCATCTCACCAAATTGTACGAGGCCACATCGCTGCACAATAAAATTTTCCTTAAGAGGAAATTGTACACTCTCCGTATGCCAGAATCTACTTCAGTGACGGAGCACTTAAATACACTGAACACCTTATTTTCTCAGCTTACATCCTTAAGCTGTAAAATAGGAGAACAAGAACGTGCTGAACTTCTATTTCAAAGTCTACCTGATTCGTATGATCAACTCATCATCAACTTGACAAACAGTAATGTCACCAGTCTAGTCTTCGATGACGTTGCAGCTGCTGTTCTACAAGAAGAAAATCGGCTCAAGAAAAAGGAAGACAGACAAGTAAATCTGCAACAAGCAGAAGCGTTGACAACGATGACAACGATGAGAAGGAGATCAATAGAACGTGGCCAAAGCAGCAGTCACAAACATGGTAGATCGAAGTCGAGAAGCAAGAAGAATTTAAAGTGTTACAATTGTGGAAAGAAGGGTCACTTGAAGAAGGATTGTTGGAGTCTAAATAAAAACTCCAATCCACAAGGCAATACCGCAAACACTTCAGATGATGGAGATGCTCTATGCTATGAAGCGTCAACCACCGTGGAAGGAAGAAAACGATTTGCAGATATATGGCTCATTGATTCGGGAGCAACATATCACATGACCTCAAGAAGAGAATGGTTCCATCATTATGAACCTGTCTCAGGAGGATCTGTGTATAGTTGCAATGATCATGCCTTAGAGATCGTTGGCGTGAGAACCATCAAATTAAAGATGTATGATGGAACAATTAAAGTTGTTCGAGATGTGCAGCTCGTGAAAGGTCTGAAGAAAAATTTATTATCCTACGGATTGTTGGATAATAATGCTAGCAAGATTGAAACACGGAAAGAATCATGAAGGTGTTCCGTGGAGCGCTTGTGGTGCTGAAAGGCGAAAAAATAGCTGCAAACTTATACATGCTGAAGGGAGAGACTTTGGTAGAAGCAGAAGCCTCTATTGCCTCATGTGGTTCAGATTCTGAAATGCTATGGCATAAGAAACTTGGACACATGTCAAAATAAGGAATGAAAGTCCTTGTGGAGCAAAAGCTACTTCCAGGCTTTACAAAGGTATCACTTACTTTGTGTGAGCATTGCATAACAAGTAAGCAGCACCGGTTGAAATTCAACACATCAAATTCTAGAGGCAAAAGTGTTCTAGAATTGGTTCACTCTGACGTATGGCAAGCACCAGTAACATCCCTAGGCGGAGCAAAATACTTTGTCTCATTTATTGATGACTACTCAGGAGATGTTGGGTGTACCCTATTAAGAACAAGTCAGATGTGTTTTTAACTTTCAAAAAAACTTCAAAGCACGGGTGGAACTTGATTCTGGAAATAAGATCAAGTGTTTCAGAATAGATAATGGAGGAGAATACATAAGCGAAGAATTTGATGAATTTTGCAAGAAAGAAGGCATCAAAAGACAGTTCACAATGGCGAACACTCCTCAACAAAATGGAGTGGCAGAGCGGATGAACAGAACCTTGTTAGAAAGAACAAGAGCAATATTGAGGGATGCAAGCCTAGAAAAATCATTCTGGGCAGAAGCAGTCAATACCGCCTGTTATTTGGTGAATCGAGCTCCATCAACTGCAATAGAGCTGAAGACACCAATGGAGATGTGGACTGGTAAACCAGCTGATTATTCAAACCTCCATGTATTTGGAAGTATAGTGTACGTGATGTACAACTCCCAAGAAATTTCAAAGTTGGATCC